TTTGTAAAGAGGAAAGGGAGCGGGAAAAAACAAGCAAAAACGTGACGTACTTTGTGGATGACTCTTTTATATGTAGTTGTACCTAACACCAATTAGTTTGGATTTTTAAAATCTTGGATTTGAGTAAAAGTTAGGTTCAAGCTCACGTTGATTAAAAAAAAACTTTTTTTAACGCAAGCTTGTGAAAAATGTCTTTGAATTTTTCATCAAAAAATCAAAGACATTTTTGACATGATCTGGAGGATTTATGTAAAAATAAACTTTATTGAGCTACTATAATTTTTACAATTTGTTTGAGATTTTATTCGTATAAGAATTTTTTTTGAGTTTAAATACCGGTAATTTACTGTAATTACCGGTATTTAAGATATTCATTAAAAAACACCGGTAGCGAAAAAAATAGCAACCCTGTATTTAAGAGAAATAAATATTTTGTCCGCCAAGGAGGTATATACATAGGTAAGAGTATATACTTAAATTGCTCGTTATACAAATATGTAATGAGATAAGGAAAAACATCGAACTATGAGTTAAAACTAGCAAACGACGGGCACAATTCAAAAAGACTCTTTATAATTTTAATAGTAAATGGTGGTAATTAATAGTAAGTGGTGGTAAATAATAAAATATTGCTTTAACTTCAGACTCGAACTAACTGAGCAGCGGTAGAGTAACAAAAGCAAACACTCTCAATAAACAACTCAACGGACAAAAAAATAAAAGCTACCAATTTTTATCTGTTTTTTTTTTTAATAAAAAAAACACTTGATTAACTACAAAGCCTTTTGTATTTAAAACAATAGTTTCAATTTAGGACATAACGATCAATTTCTGGCAAGGTCTTGTCTCTCGGTTAATGTTACGTCTCTTTTAAAAAAAGAAGTGGAACAGACCCAGATATCGATCAAAATTACAGACCAATATTGCTTACTTCCATTCATTACACATTTAATGGAAAATAGTAAGAAAAGTCATAATGGGTCATTTAGTGAATAACAAGTTGCTTTCCAAATGTTAATACGGGTTTGTTTCAAAAAAGAACTGTAGCAAAACGGCAATCTTATAAATAGAGTAAAAGTAATAAATAAGTATAAATAGAATTAAAGTCTTCCTTTAATCAACTTTAAATTGAGTCTCCAAGTATTGTAACGAGCAATATTTGGAGACTCCAAATATTTTGATATTTGGAGTCTCCAAATATTTGGATATTAATAAATACCCAATTTATGAATAGATCAACATAACTAGCCGAGTTCCGCATGATTCTGCTTTAAAACAAACGCTTGTTTGTTATACTCATTTACAACGTAACAGGTTATGTCTTATCTATTTTTAAAATCTACTCAGATGATATAAAGCAAATGAAAGTTGTCGAAAAACGATCAAAATAAAGCAAGTTTCTGATCTCGACAAGATCGTTAAAGCAAGTTAACGATCTGATCTCGACAAGACTGTTAAAGCAAGTTTACGATCTGATCTCGACAAGATCGTTAAAGCAAATTTACGATCTGATCTCGACAAGATCGTTAAATAAATACAAGTTTTGCTAATTATGTACAAAAATGTAAAGTCATGTATTTTCATTCTGGACCAATAAAATATGACTACTTTAAGGTCCAAATCAAAGAGGACGGCCCGGTCAACAGTGTAGTTTGAAACACTAATTTTTAAAGAGATCTTAAAACTCAACTTTTTAAGAATTTCAAATACGCTCAGCAGGCATACTCAGAATTCTTAAACACACGTTTGTATCAAGAGCCATTTGAAAAAAAAACTTAATACTACATAAACCAGACCCTATCTAAAGTTTACTATACAAGATAGGAATCCTTAATTTGGTGGTGACGTAAAAGAAGTTGAAAAAAAAACTTAATAATTATTTTTATAATTCATTATATGTTTCTAACTAATAATTATTTTTATAATTCATTATATGTTTTTTTGTTTTTTGTTTTTTCTTGTATGCTTTTTTTTCTTGTTTCTTTTGAACAGTGTAAAATAAAAATAAGATTGTTTGAAAAAATTTAATAATCAATAAAATTTTAAATATTCAAACATTCAAGAAATATTCTGCAAGAAACTCAGTGAACTTTTAGCAATTTTTAAAGATACTGGAAACAAAATAAATTTTCTAGATATTTAAGAGTATAATAATCTGATAATATTAATACGCTAATTTAATAGTAGTAGTTAATAACGACTTACGTCATTTTATAGGTTTTTCAATTTTAAACTAGTTTCTAGGCTTAATTTTATTTACTAACAACCCGTATTACGGGTTGCTTACTGCTAGTAATAACAATAATAAATATTATTAATACTATTTTTATTATTATTGTTATAATTAACTTCATTTATTGTCATTATTACTATTATTATTAATATTTAACTAAATAGTTTTTTTCTTCTTTATCTTCGAATAAACCGTTATTTAGTTAATGGTCTGTTTAGTTTGTTAATGTTTGTTTGATAATTAAATATCAAGCAAAATAAAAGAAAAATAAAAGTTTCAAGAATTAGCAATAAGCGCAATCAACCCCCCCCCCCCCTACTTAGATATTTTTAAAAGAAGTTTTTTTTTTTATAAATTTATATATTTAACTTAGCATGTTGTTTGAAAACGGAAGTAAATTAGGTAGTTAGGTAAATTAATATGAAATTAGGATATCAATATATGATAATTAATTTCATATTTGCAAAGATTAAGACAATTTAAGACTAATATTCTAAAAAAAAGTAACTAAAAAAAAACCTAAAATTGTTCCTCTACTTTACTGTGTATGGTCTGGATCCACCAAATCAAAAAAGCTTTAAAATCACCGTTAACACCCTCCTTTTTACTCTCCACCTTCCTTCCTAAATAGGAAAACTAAAATAAAACAACAACTGAAAATTACTAGATGGTCTGGGTCCGCTTAAAAGTGTAAAAAGTATAAAAAGTGTACACTTTTAAATTAACGTTGGTTCAAAAAAAAAACAAAAAAAAACAAAAAAAAAAACACACAAACTTTTTAAAACAATTTATATTGTTTCGTACGATCTTACTTCCTTTAAGCAATTTTTGCTTAATGGAAGCAGCCTAGCCTTACAAAATCTTTCCGCATCCTTATATTAGCAGTTAGTTCAAAAAAAAAAACAAAAAAAAAAAAAAAAAAAAAACACACAAACTTTTTAAAACAATTTATATTGTTTCGTACGATCTTACTTCCTTTAAGCAATTTTTGCTTAATGGAAGCAGCCTAGCCTTACAAAATCTTTCCCCATCCTTATATTAGCAGTTAGTTGCGCCCGGCGTAAAACGGAAATTTAAAAATCGTTTGTTTTTTTAAGCACACAATGGAATGAATAAATAAAATGATTTAAGGCTACAAAATAACTTTGATTATCCAAAAGCCAAAATTATCCGCGAAAGAGTGGACAGTCGATAAAGCGTAGTGGTCGTTAAGTGCCGTCTAAGTTTTATCAAATTATTTATTTAATAAGATTTAATCTGTCTACTTAAATGTGTGTTATACTGCAATTTCTTATAAATTCTATACAAACAAGTAATTTAACTGCAAGATTTGACATCTAGAGCAGACGCTTTATTTTAAGAAAATTTTTGCTATTAAAAATGGAATTTCACACCTATTGAAAATGTCAAAACCATAAGAAAGGTTATATGAAAATACACGTTGAACTTAATAGCAAATATTGATTTATAAATAATAAATTTTATTTTATACTTTCTAGAAGTATAAAATGCATATACGGTTTTCATTTACTGAATTTAAATTTATTTCGTATGCGATATAATTTTATTTTAAGTCTGATGCTTTCATGCATTATGTATCATATTCATCTCTATGGAAAATAAGAATGCAGCTAGTTGTGGTTTTTTTTTTATTTACTTGTATTATTCATTAAATCATTATATATTCAAACTGAAATTGAAACAATTGTTTAATACTTAAATTTATTTTCATATTAATTTGATTTTGGGTATGTATTAGTTTAATATAAAATTAAATTATAACATGTTTAGATTACACATCCAAAATCAAATTAGAGCAAAATGTTTTTTATTAAAAAATTATTTTGATTTTAGTATTTTAATACTTATTGTATTGATACTCATTTTAATACTCATTGTAATGATATACTTGTTTAGTGATCCATGTTTTTTACACTTGTAAAAAACAAAAATCTCTCATTAGCCATCTTTGATTTAAATTAATCAGGAAATTGAGATAATCTTAACATCAAATACAAAATTTTAATGAATGTAATATGAAATGAATATGTTAATCAACATTACACATTTATACACATTATGCAAAAAAATTACTTATTCCTATATTTCATATTATATGTATTAAATATATGACTACACATGCTTTTATTTGTAAATAATAGCTATAAAAATAAAAAATATATAAAAATTTTTATAGTATGTAAACAATTTACTGAGAAATTTTTTTATTAAAACATTTTAATTTTTAATTTATATTCATCCTGTTGTTTTATTCTAATAATTGTCTACCGAAACACAAAAAGAAAACATATTTCGAGCCAGAAAAAGTGTGTCAACAGTCTTCTTGAAAAGAAAAGAAAAAAGAAATAAGTTTGACTTGTTAATTTATAATATATTTTATAGTATAAATAGTTATTTAAAAACTTTTACTATTATTATTTAGAAATTTTACTATATTTTATAATATAAATATTTAATACCTTATCTCTTATTATAAATTTCAAAAGTGTTACATTCTTTACTTTGAAAATACTATTACATTCTTTACTTTTCACCAAAATACTCACATACAGTGTTGCATATCTCACTAGTATATAAAATATAATATTATATATTTTTTTTAGTCTATATAAACTAAAATTTGAAACCAAATATATCAATAAAAACTCTAATAAAATATTAATATAAAAGTCATAAATAAAAATAAAAATTCAGAAAATAGAAATAAAAATATAAAACTTATAAATAAAAAAAATATATATAAAACTCATAAATTAAAAATAAAAATAAAATACCTAATAAAAATACAAATGTACATTTAGCTCAACCAAATACCCATTTCTCATTATCATCATCCTAAATGCTGAAGTGAATAATATGGTTGTTAAGTCTCCTTGTGGTGTTTGTTATAAAACTGTAACATGCAATCAAAAAGCTATAAAATGTGACTCTTGCAATAAGTGGATACACACTAGGTGTAATAATGTTGATAGTAAATGCTACAACTCTTTGATGACTGAAACTGGCTATTGGTACTGTCTTAATTGCTTGGAAAACACTCTACCATACTCTTCTCTAACAGATAAGGATTTTAAGGTCACTATAAATGGTGCAAATACTTTTACTCATAATTTGTTTAATGACACTTCTTCTAACCTAAAAAATCTCTTTCAAAATAAACTTGACAATGACAATATTAATTGTAAATACTATGATACTACAGAGTATAACAAAGCTATTAGTATTAATTCACAAACCTATTTACATGTAAATATATCATCCCTGGCATATTACCTTGAGGATCTAAAACTTCTGCTTTCCCTTATGAATAATAAACCCAATATCATTGCTATATCTGAAACTCGCTTAAATCACGACAAAATACTTAGAACTGATATAAATTTAAATGACTATGTCTTTGAACGTACTGATACTCATTCTAATAAAGGAGGAACTATTATATATATAAGATCTGAATTAAATTATATCTTAAGACCTGACCTCAAAATTCAAAAAAAAAAAGAACTAGAATCAACCTTTATTGAAGTCTTACTGCCATCAGAAAAAAATATTATTGTAGGTTGCATTTATCGCCACCCTTGTATGAACACTAGTGAGTTCTTTATCACTTATATACAAACCCTACTTGACATGTTATCACTAGAGAATAAAAATATAATTCTTTTAGGAGACTTCAACATTAATCTTTTAAAATATGAATCTTGTAATGATGCTTCTAACTTTCTAGATCTGATGTACTCTTCCTCCCTCTTCCCATTAATTACTCAACCAACCAGAATTACTCCAAAATCAAAGACACTCATAGATAATATATTTGTAAACTTTCACACACCAAATACTAAATCAGGCAATCTAACAGTTTCGCTTGCTGACCATCTTATTCAGTTCATATCCTTTCCATGCAAGAACTTAAAACAGTCTCTTCCCAAAGTATATCGTAGATGTTTTAAAAATTTTAATGAAAAAAAGTTTCTTAAAAACTTAAAAGAAACTGATTGGCTCTCAATAAACCAACAAGGGAACTATTGTGTTAATAACTTTACCTCTAAGTTTTTGGATACACTTAGAAGATTACTTGATAATCATGCCCCTTTCAAAATGTCTACCAAAAAAGCTAATAAATCTTTATCGAAGCCATGGATTACCAAAGGAATCATTACGTCAATACAAATTAAAAATAAGTTGCACAAGAAGTTCATTAAATGTAAAAATGAGAATTTAAAGCTACAATACTTCCAAAAATTCAAATATTATAGAAATCAAATTAGTAACCTACTGCGATACTCAAAAAAAAGATATTACTCAATCTACTTTAATGAAAATCTGAATAACCTTAGGAACACCTGGAAAGGAATAAGGAGTATTATTTCTACTAAATCAAAGAACAACAATAACATAGATAGTTTAAATATCAATAATAAAACTATAACTAACAAGGAAATAATTACAAACACATTTAATGATTACTTCTCATCAATTGCAAATAATCTTGCTAAAGAAATTATACTTCCTAGATTTCACTTCAGCCACTATCTAAAAAACCAAAATCCTGATTCTTTTTTTATATCCCCAGTTACTTCTCAAGAAATAAATGACTATATCTCACTCATGAATCCGAAAAAAAGCACTGGACCCAATAGCATTCCTTCAAAAATAATGACCTTAGCATCTCAAGAATTGAGTCTCCCCTTGAGTATTTTAATAAATCAATCTTTCCAATCAGGGATATTTCCTGACTTATTCAAAATTGCAGAAATTGTTCCAATTTTTAAAAGCGGCTGTAAACAAGATCCTTGTAACTATCGGCCTATATCCTTACTCTCAAATGTAGGTAAACTAATTGAAAAGCTTATGTATAACAGGCTACTAAGTTTTTTAAATCTATCAGATAGCTTATATAGTTTGCAATTTGGATTCCGAAAGAAACACTCCACTAACCAAGCACTCATAGATATAACTGAAACCATACGTGAGGCTTTAGATCATAAACAGTTTGCTGGTGGAGTGTTTGTTGATTTGCAAAAAGCATTTGATACTGTCGACCATGAAATCCTATTATCAAAGCTGTATCATTATGGTGTAAGGGGAATTGCTCTGAAATGGTTTAAGTCATATCTAAATCGTCGTCCTCAAAGTGTTACTATTGGTAATATCTCATCCACTACTAAGTTTACGTATATAGGGGTTCCTCAGGGTTCAACTCTGGGTCCCCTTCTTTTCCTTATCTACATAAATGATTTAAATACTTGTATTAAGTACTCGAAAGTGTATCATTTTGCTGATGACACTAACCTTCTAATTGTAGATAAGTCTTTAAAAAAACTAAATAAGTACCTAAATTATGACTTGGCATCACTGGTCCAATGGTTACGATCAAACAAAATATCTCTGAATGTCAAAAAAACTGAATTAGTCCTATTTAAACCTCGAGGCAAAAAAATTATCAAAAAACTTAATTTTAGAATTAGTGGTCAAAAACTAAATATTGTAGATAAAATAAAATATCTAGGCATATTGTTAGATGAAAATCTCTTGTTCATTCAACAAATTAAATCCATAGCAAACAAACTAAGTCGAGCAAATGGAATGCTTACCAAAATAAGGCATTTTGTGAATTATGAAACCCTTGTGAATATTTGGCATGCTATTTTTAACTCCCATCTACGCTATGGTTGTCAGATATGGGGACAAACTTCATCCATGTATAAAAAAAACCTTATAAATCTCCAAAATAAATCATTAAGAATAATTCACTTTCAACCTAACAGTTTTAGTTCTGACCCACTATATAATCTTTCTAAAATTTTAAAGCTTGATGAACTTATCTACTTATCAAACTGTGTACTTGTATGGGACATTGTCCACAATAATATGCCCAGCTGCTTCACTAGCTATTTTAAATTTACAAATGATATTCATAGTTATAATCTTAGGTCTGTATCTTATTGTAGTCTCTCTAAGCCTTTAAAACTAACACATAAGTATGGCATAAAATCAATCAAGTATCAATCAATTCACTGTTGGAACTCTCTTCCTGTTGAAACTAAAATAGTATTATCCAAAATGACAAATAGAAATGCCTTCATAACCCATGTAAAAAAGTTTCTCCTCAATAAAGATAATCAATGAACTATCATTTATGCTATCACCCCCTAGTCATTCTTTGTGGCTGAATTTTTAATAAAATAAAAGTATAAAACTCATAAATAAATTTATAAAACCCATAAAATAGAAATAAAAATATAAAACTCATAAAATTAAAATAAAAATATAAAACTCTAAAAATAAAAAAAAAAATACAAAACTCTAAAAGTAAAACACAAAAATATATAAATGTTCATCTAGTCGCAATCAAATACCTTATTTTCATCATCCGATATAGTGTATATGGCTCTTAAAGATTGTGGCATTGTTATTATACTATCTAACATTTAATAAATACACAATAAACTATTTCCTATGCAATTGCCCCTGCTTAATTCTCTTCAACTATTTTTTTTTTTTTTTTTTTTTTTTTTTTTTTTTTTTTTTTTTTATTCTTTCCTACTTTTTATCTGTCCTATTTTTTGTTATTGATATTATTAAGATTCTTATATTTTTATTTTGCTTTATTATTAAGGATAATCACTATTTGCTATAAATGTTTTATTTTGATTATAGTAGTAAAATATATATTGATTATAGTGTTCTATATTACTGCATTAATATTATTATTAATATTATTATTAATATTTATTTCTATTATTATTAATAATATTTATTATTGTTATTTATTATTATTATTATTATTTTATTATGTTATTATTTATACCATTATAGGTCTTTACACGTCATCAGTTTATAACTGTTTGTAAATGTCCCGCACAATTGTATATATATACAGTATTATTAAAGTGAAAATATATTGATTGATTGATTGATTGATTGATTGATTGATTGATTTGGTAGTTTAATTTTTTGTATTTTATTTATTTTATATAATATTTGGAATATTTTTTTTAAATATAAAATGTTTTGATTAGTTATCAAGTCAAGTATACTAATTTAATAAAATAATAGTTATAATTGTTTATATAATTATTATCATTTTTGGCAGTTTGAAACATTACACATTCAAGTTGTAATCATCAAACATCTGTATTCTAAAAACTATCTTTATTATAAAATCTATATTATAAACATCAAATTAATATTTATGCCAAAGTAATTTTATAATTGATATTAGATATTATAAGTAGTTAAATTTATGATGAAGTAGTTAAAGTAATAAATATTGAAGTTAAAGTAATAAATATAAGTGTAAATAAATTTTCATTATAAATTAATAAAATAGCTATCAAATACAAATGTACCTAATCAACTTTAATATCTTTAAAAAGTAATAATTTTTACCATAACCAATTAAATAAATAATTAATTTCTGATAAGCTATGCAATAATACTAATTATTTATGAAATTAAATATTTAAATCTGTTTATTTTTAAATATCAAAATTTTATTTTTTCAACAAGCATACGCAATAAAATAAAAAATATATATGACTGGATCTTAGGATTGCCTAGAACTGTTCTATTAATAAGCTAGTAATTTAACTAAAAAAAGGTTATTATATATATATATATATATATATATATATATATATATATATATATATATATATATATATATATATATATATATATATATATATATATATATATATATATACAAATATACACACACACACGATTATAAATATTGATTTATGTTTAAAAATAAAATCTATTATAGCTGAAGCAAATGTTATTCATATTGTTATTGGTGGCGACTTTAATTGTGATTTAATTGTGATGAGAGGTCTAAATTTTTTTTGATGAGTTTTAAAATTTTGCAGCAGAAAAAATCTGATTAAACTTAACAGTATATTTAACACTTTCACATGTTGGTGATGATGGAAATCATGTCTCTTGGTTGGATCACATTTTGTGCTACCTAAAAAATGATAATCTTATACTATAGTATAATATTTCTGTTCTGAAAAATGTTGTAGCATCAGATCATAAACATTCTCTTTTTTTTTGCTTATTAGAAAGCACAAATGAAATAAAAAGTGATGAAATTTATCTTAAATTGTCTAGTACTCCTAAATGGCAGGCATGCAAACTGTAAGTTATTAGTCATTTATTAGAAAAGATTAAACATCTTGTTGCGATGTACCATTTAGTTTGTTCACTGATCCCATAATAGAAACCTATAAAACAACTGTGTATATTCACTTATTTTATTGCAACATCATAAATTGTATTCAATCTGTTGTAACTCACACTATACCACATAGTGATGGCAACAAAATAAATTTTGAATTTAATATTCCTGGTTGGAATAAGTTTGTCAAAAACAAACATTGGTAGAGATGCATTTAAACTATGTATTCTAAATGGGAAGCTAAAACAAAGTGATTTTTTTGAAAAAGTAAAGAGTACTTGTGCCACCTTTAATTTAGCTCTGATACTATAATAGGCATAATGAGAAAATAAAAGCTGATAAGTGTGCAGAAAATCTTTACAACACAGATCCAAGAAAGTTTTGAAAAAGTATAAATTATATCAGTAAAAATAAAGCTAAGTTCCACATTTTTAGTGTTCGAAGAGTTATAGGAGATAATGGTATAGCTAATATAAGGAGAGACCACTTTTAAACAATGTAGCTCAATAAAAAATACAAAATAATTTTTTTTGAGCTAAGTTCTTTGAATCCTTCATTATTCCTTGGGTGAAGGTGGCAGACCAAATTTTATAAATGTTAAATCTAACATTTATTTTTATATAGTAGTAATTATTTTTGAAATTTTCATATGATTTTGCTTCATTTGAGTCCCAACATACTTTTAAATAATTTTTTTTCAATAATATTAGGAACTCAATATATGTCTAATAAAAATATTTTTAAGGGTCTCGAGGGACCCCTAAAAATATATTTTATTCAAAAATTATTTAAAACCAGTATTTTTTTAATCATATAACACACATTAAGGGGGTGGCAGCATATATTTTACTAAAATATTTTAAAATAAAACCATATATACCGTAGAAATCTTTAAATAGAAGTATTAATTTGATATATTTAAATATAGACATAATTAAATTAATATAGAAAAAAAGTTTTGTTACATACTTTTACTTATTTTGTCTAATATCTTTTTACAGCTTGTTTATAAAAAATCAGTTCACGCTAAAAGCTGAAGTCAAAAATCATGAAAAAAACATTTTATTGGCTGAAACCACTGCCATTGTAAATTATAATGGATTTACCTGAAGAGGTTTGGGATAAACTTAGAGAATTGCAGCAAGAACTTGATGAAGGTTTTTTCATGCAAATTTTTACAAATTTTATATATTTTATTGAAGCAATCACTCTTATAACTATGTTTAGTTATTTTATATAAGTGTTGTCTAAATTGTTTGGGTTAAATAAAAAACATTGTTTTATATTCTATTACTTATAACAGACAACATCTATATGTTATTATTATAGATGGTATTATTTAACAGCCATCATACATTTAAAATTTTAGGTGATATTACATCGAAGGGTTATGAGAAAAAAAGAGCAAAACTTTTAGAGCCATATGTCAATAAAGGTATTTAAATAATTTTTCTTTTTAGTTTATTATGTTCAAGTTATTTTTAATTAATGAAAGGCAGAATTGAAAAATCTGTTTTTCAAAAGAAATGAGCTTTGTAAACTAAAAATAAACTAAAAGCATTAAGATGTGACCCATAATACCTTACATGCTACCCATAAATACCTATTTAGTTTCAGGTAACTCCATGACACAAGTTTAAAATGCGTATAACTATAAATTTAGAGCTCTACTAACAATGTCTTTACTCAAAATAAAATAAATATTTATAAGTAGTATGTAATATATTATTGCCCCCTTCTAAACATTTTAAGTTTTTTTTTGTATTTCCTATTTAGTTTACCAAGGTTTTGGTAAACTATTTGATATACATTCTATTTGAAAAGACAAGATTTTTCAATCCTCTTGTGAAACAACAATAAACTATTTTTTGCTTAACCTAACCATCAACAAAGACCTCACCGCCATTATATAGCTGTAACTCTGAATAGTAGTTACAGCTATATAATGGCTTGGAAATTTCTTCATCTAGTACACTAAAAAATTCATTTTTAATGACGACTTAATTTTACTTCCTTTATCAAACATGTTGTATCCATAAATTGGAGTCAAAACTGCAAATTATACTGACGAAACTAAAACAAGATTGTTTTATTAACAGAACTATTTATATAATTTACAAGCTTACAGAAGATTATTTTATCAACAGAACTATTTATATAATCTACAAGCTTACACAAGATTATTTTATTAACAGAACTATTTATATAATCTACAAGCTTACACAAGATTATTTTATTAACAGAACTATTTATATAATCTACAAACTTACACAAGATTATTTTATCAGCAGAACTATTTATATAATCTACAAACTAAGGCAAGGTTATTTTATCAAAAGAACTATTTATATAATCTACAAATATCTTTGTTCTGATTATTTAAACAACAAATAAAAAGGTAAAATTTTGGTCACGTAACTGATTGAAGATAAATTTTTTTGCAAATGAAAATTATACAAGAAGTTAATATCTTAACTAAATAGTATAACAGACTAAAGTTATAAATTTTGATTACAGTAAAGTGATATGAAGGCTCTTAATAATATATAGCATTCTATTTGTTATAGATGTATTATAGACGTTCTGGTTTTATTTTAAATCTTGTGAAAGAATTTTGATCCAGCAATCTTCTTTTTATTCCGCTCAGTAAGATATTTAGTATATAAGATATGCAAACTTATATATACAAAAGTAAAACTAAAGCCTTTCAAATGTTTTGTTGAAATAACTTTAATTACGGTTTTCTTACATTGTACAGTTTTGGCTAAAAATTGGCTACTTATAATTGTTATTTATGAATGCAAAAAATTATTATTAAACAATAATTATTTATAGATGCAAAATATGCTTGCTGGCAACACACGAAACAATTACATATTGTATGGGTGATTGCTTAGCTATCAACCAATATCTACCGATAACCAATATTTTCTATATTTTCAAAACAATTTAGCAAGTCCTTATCAGCATCTGTTATCCCTATTTTCAAAAAATCTGGAAAGCGATCTGACTTATCTAACTACCATCCTATTAATTATTATAAGCAATGTTTTTGAGTCTTTAATTAACAAACACTTAATCCTCATCTTGAATCTAATAACTTTCTGATTATCAATTTGCATTTTGATCTTCTAGTTCTACTGCTAAATCGTTAACAGTAATTACTGATAGGTTTTATTGTGCATTAGATAAATGTGGAGAGGCTAAGGCTATCTCTCTTGACATTTCTAAAGCTTTTGATAAAGTTTGGCATGCTGGTCTTCTCTATAAGCTCTCTTCTTACGATGCTCTTGCAGCCAACCTCCAACCATTATCACATCGCCATAATGTTTTTTTTGATTGTACAGCCCTCAGAATTAGGGTTGGCATTTGGCAATGCCAACCTAACCGTCGACCCGACATCGTCCGAGGCAGGCAATTTTTCGCTGACCTCTGAATTTTAAAACTTAATTTTATTTGTTAATTCAATTAAATTAAAAGTGAAAAACGAGTGCTTTATTTAAAATCTAAATAAAATTATTCAAATATAAACAGTAACAAAAAAAAATGTTTTTCTTAAGTTTTAAATAAAATAATTGAAATGAAACAAAAAAAGCAAGAGTTTTACATAAATTCTGAATAAAGTTATTTTAAGAAACTGGCCAAATAAACGTTTTATATTCTAAATAAAACCTTTAATTAAGTAGTTCAAGTAGAAACAGAATTTTATTTAAATTCAAAATAAAATAATAACAGCAGTAAAACAAACGAATAATTTAAAAACACAACAGCAAAATAAATGTTTTTTTTTTAAATTCCTAATAAAATATTCAAAATAAAACAGCAAAATAAATGTTTTTTTTAAATTCCCAATAAAATATTCAAAATAAAACAGCAAAACAAGCATTTCATTTAAATTTCAAATACAAACCTTTCCTTAAAATTGTAAACAAATGAATAAAAACAGAAAAACAAAAGTTTTGTAAGTGAAATAATTGAAAATAAAATTGACAAAATTGTTTTATTTAAATTCCTAATAAAATAATGCATTCGTTGTTCAAATTTTTGCAAACCTTATTTTTACTAATTTTTTAACGAGGGTTAATTTTATCATTTGGCATTAAAATAACCCATTTTTCAAAAAAAAAAAAATTTGTGATCGTTTCAAAAGAATTATTAGATTCGACTGTTTAATAAAAGCATGTTGAGATAAAATAATGCCCAAATATTGTGAATCTTTTGTTGCTTCAGTGTCACAAATAATCGAGGCCATTCTAAATGTTCGAGGTGCCCATACAAAGCACTAGAACATGTCTTTAATATTTTTTTTTTTTTTTTTAAATTAAAATTTTTTCTTGTAATAAATACTTATACAGTACACAAATAGTTTTTTGCTATAAATATTGTTTGGTTGTATTTTATGGTCATAACTGTATAATATAGTTTTACAATTGAGTACTCTCTTTCAACAAATTCTCTAATTGCTTTGCCGAGTTGATTGAATGTTCTATATATATTTTTTTGTTTTTATATGTGAGTTATGCTTTTAATTTTTTTTTTTTTTAATTTTTTTATCATGTTGTATTTTTAGCACTACCTAAGTCAATACCTAACAGTGATTCTAAAGAAATACCACCAAGACTTACAGCAAAAAATGCAAATAGACCAACATCAAATTCATCTTTGTCTGAATTATGGGGTACTTCTACCCCAAATAGTATAAATGGAAGTAAAACAAGTTCAGAATTTGAAGATAAAAATTCTAGTGCAAGCTGGCATGAGTCACCAGATTTTACATCAGGTGTTAATTTATACTATTTACTTAATTGATAGAATATTTAAATGAGTATTTATAAAAAAATTAAACAGTATAAATCCATAAAGTATATTTACTGCCTATATCAGAAGCTTTACTTGTAGCTTGATTGTTTATGGGATTATTGTTTTCTCTGCTTAATGTAACTCAGAGGAAACACATGAAAGATTTTCTTCTCTGATAAATGTAATTTTTTAATATGTTGGCTGAGGGTCTACTAATTTGTTTAGGCTACTAACTTTTGCTACAGTTAAGGAGGCTGCTAACTTTAAAAAAACAAAAAAAAAACAAGTTTACCTCAGAACTACTAGGGGCCTGGAGAAGTTTGAACTCTGCACCTCTTAGCTAGAAAACAAATACTTTAAACCCCTACCACATAATTCATTAAATTCTGAGAATATTGCATTTTATAATTTTGCATGACATCTGCATTCTACATTTTGCATAGCACCTACATTTTCTACATTAATCACATTCTGTTATGTTAAATGGCTACATATTTACATTAAGTAACAGCATACTATATTCTGAAAAATTTCTACACTAATAATGCTGAGCTTTCATATAAACTAATTTCTTTAATCTCTTCAAAACTTATTTGTTTATTATAAAAAAGTGAAAATTAAAATAATATTTTATCCAAGGAGTTCGACAAGAAGCCATCAATAATGCTCTTCAAAAACACAAAGAAAGTGAAGGCGTTGATCAAGCACCAGCACCAATTAAGCGAGCATCTTTTGTAAACCGTCGACAAAAAGATCCTCAACTTAGTTCTAGCTACACTGCTCCTCCAACTACCTTTGAAGGTTTTTTTTTAATGTATTATTTTATCTATTGTTGTTTTATCTTTATTATATTATTTATAATGTTTTTTTCTATACTATTTTTCCTTATTTCTATTAAAATTATTTATTTATTTATTTATATATTTTATATATAGTACACACAAAAAAAAATTCTGCACTTGAAAAAATTACATTTTTTTTAAGTTTAAGATCAAAATTTTAGTATAAAATTCTAACAAAATTATATTTAAAGTATACATTAAAATATCAATAATAAGATATATTTGAAAAAACTTATTTTTTTCTATTATGCAAATTTAGAAATGTCAGAGGTATAAACTTGTGGTTGCCCAACAATACCAGGCAACCGAACTTTGTAAAAGGCATCTAAAAATGTTTCTTTGATGAAGTTAAGCCACCCAAGAGGATGACTTAATTGCATCAAAGAAATTTTAATGGGTTGAAAACTTTTAAAACTAAATGATATTATTTTTTTTGCAGTTCTAGTTTTATTTTTTTATGAATTCAAGAGTTCTATAAGAAGCAACATCTTCGAAGTTAAATCTAGCAAGACGATGTCATTCAGATAAATATTTTTTGATAATGACTTTTTAACTATCTGAAACAATAATGAAACTACATTTTAAAAGTTTTTTATAATAAATGTTATTTAATAAAATAAATATTTTGATTTTATAAACAACTTTTTTAGATAGCAACAATCTCTTCAATGAACTTTGTATAAAAATATTATTTATGAACTTTTAAGAACTTTTCATCAATATCATATCTTGATTCCACTAGAAGTTCTATATATATATTCCATATATATATATTCCACTTTGTATAAAAATATTATTTAAGAACTAAGAACTTTTCATTAATATTATCTCTTGATTCCACTAGTTGCATTCTACCTGATATAGCTGTCAAACAGGTTGATCCATTGCTCGACATCCGTATCACTCCAGCTACTGTATCTAAAGTGATTTCCTGCTTAGATTTTTTTACAGCTTGCAGACCGGACAACATGCCTGATATAGTCTTGCAGGAGTTTTCTCCGGAGCTGTCGTCTATCCTTTCAAAACTATTCAACAAGTGCTTATCAGAGTCTTGTTTTCCAGCCTGCTGGAAAGCAGCATTTGTTATCCCTAATTTTAAAAATTCGGGAGAGCAATCTGATTCGTCTAACTACCGTCCCATTAGTTTTCTTCCTATCATTAGCAAGGTTTTTGAATCTTTAATTAACAAACACCTAATCTCTTATCTTGAATCTAATAACTTACTTTCTGATCATCAATATTTCAATCTTCTCGTTCTACAGCTGAGTTGCTAACAGTAATAACTGATAGGTTTTATCATGCATTAGATAAAGGTGGAGAGGTTAAGGCCATCGCTCTTGACATTTCTAAAGCGTTTGATAAAGTTTGGCATGCTGGTCTCCTCCATAAGCTTTCTTCTTATGGTGTATCTGGAAACATCTTTAAGATTATTGAATCCTTCCTTTTCAATCGTAGTATAAAAGTTGTCCTTGATGGACAGCACTCTTCTTCTTATTCTGTAACCTCATGGGTTTCTCAAAGTTCAATCCTTGGCCCTAAACTTTTTTAAATTTACATTAACGATCTTCCAGATATTCTCACATCTAATGGTGGCATTGTTTGCTGATGATACTACCATTTATTCTTGTCACAATAAGAAGCCAACTCCCTATATTTGCTTGCAGGGGGCATTTGAGCTTGAAATGGATCTCACTTCTGCTACAGCATGGGGCTTACAGTGGCTGGTGAACTTTAATTCAGATATAACTCAATTTTTTTCAGCCAATCATTTATCACAATAATTTAGACCTTCCTATATTTATGAACAGTAATGTACTAGATGAGTCATCTACCCTTCATTTTCTAGGATTAACTCTTACTTCTGATCTTTCTTGGAAACCTTATATCAAATCTGTTGCAAAATTAGCATCTGCGAAAGTTGCATCTCTTTATTGAGCTCGACACTTTCTTACTCTGGATTCTATTCTCTCTCTCTATAAATCTCAAATTCGACCTTGTATGGAATACTGTTGCCATATCTGGGGTGGATCTTTTAATGATATCCTTTATCTTATAGACAAGGTGCAAAAACGCATTGTAAACATGGTTGGACCTGCTCTTGCAGCCAACCTTCAACCTTTGTCACTTCTCTTTCTCTTTTCTACAAATACTATAATGGGCACTGCTCTAAAGAGCTAGCGTCTCTTGTGCCATCTACTAAAATTTATTCTCGTGTTACTCGTCGTTCAATTAAGTCTTATCCTTTTTCTGTTACTGTTCCTAAGTGCTCTAAAAACTCTTATTCTTCTAGTTTTTTCCCTCAAACATCAGTTCTTTGGAATTCGCTTCCTTCATCTTGCTTTCCTGATTCATATAATTTGCAATTTTTTAAGTCGTCTGTCAATCGTTATCTTGCTCTACAATCTTCATCTTTTCTCTTCCAGTAACTTCCAACATTAATTAGTGGTTGCTTGCAGCCTTGTTGGAAGCGAAGATGTTTTAAAAAAAAAAAATGTAATTAAAGTATTTAGTTATTATAAAGTAAAAATAATTTATGTGTATTTATCAATATTCATTTAAAAAAAGATTTTAAATATAAGTATTGATGGATACATAGTTTTTTTTTATTTATATATAATTATGTATTTTTATGATATAAATTAATCTTGAGAAAAAAAAATCAATTAATAATAATAATAAAAAAAGAAAACAAATAAACGTATGTTTAATAAATGTATGTTTAAACAAAGCATAAAGTAGTTTAAAAAATTGTAAAGTTTTATTTTTTATTATTTTAAGTGCGTAATTATTTACTAGCAAGTGTTTATATGAAAACTTTACTTTTTTCAAATTAGTAAAAAAACAATACTGTAATTAAAATTAAATGTGTGTAGACAATCATAAGAAGTTGTTACTTCATTTAAAGGGATTCCCCATAATTTTATAAAAACATGAGTAAAGATAAAAAATTTGAAGTTTGTTATTTCAAACGCAGTTATAAACATGATTTAAATAATTTTAGCATTTTATTATTTTTTTGTTTGTTTTAAGTTATATTTTTGCTTTGGTTTTAGTTAAGTTATATTTTTGTTTTGATTTTAGTTAAGTTATATTTTTGTTTTTAGTTTTAGTAAAGTTCTTTTCATTTTCTTGTTCGTTAAGATTTCTTTTCTTTTTTTAAATAAAGTTTTTTTTTTAGTAAAGTATAAGTTTTTTTAAGGCATCTTTGAAATGCTCAAATTCTAAAACATGCTAACAGCCGTGGTCTAATCATTAAAAAAAAAAATTATTATTTGCGTGATCATATAATAGCGTGCGATTGCATGCCGTTCTGAATAAGCCTGTTATCAATTGTAAAAATATTACTTTTAAAATATTACTGTTTGTGTGAATTATTTCTAGGGTATCCTTAACCCTATAAGAAAAAATGGCTAAATGCCATTGCAAGAATTCTGCTAAAATAAAAAAAAAATTTGGTAACAGGCAACTCAAAATATCGACAGGCAACCAACATCAGCAAACTCAAGCATGGTCAAGAAGAGAGTGTAATCGCACTTTAATTCTGATCACACATATAATATTTAGTTGTGACAGTTTGGCCATGACTTTTTATATGATTTGAAAACATTCCAAAAAGTGTGCAAAAAAAGCTTAACTTGACTGACAGGAGACAATTACAAAAAAAACTAAACTTAAAAAATAAAAGATTCTTAGCAAAAAGAAAGACTTAACTAAAACAAAATGATCATTATAAATACTAATCATTATAGATCTTTGATATGTGATCTGTGCCAAAATCCTGAATCAGCGGTCTATAATGATCAGTATTCAAACAGCAGACTTAATATCAATTTAATAACTTTATATTTTACTGGAGTCCATCGATTTATTACACTATATAATAATATTCATAATATATTATAAATTGATCTAAATGGCATATTACATTTTAAGAGAATTATAATTTTATTTGTAATTTACAAACTAAAAGTTTTTATTGCATCAAATTATTTGAAAGCACACTTTTATGGTTAAGCTAAAAAGGTAAAAAAAAAAAAAATTAAAAAAAAAGAAATTTAGTGAGTGTGTTTTTTAATATATTTGTGTGTTTGTGTACTGTATATACTTCTGGTGCGGTGCTGGTTCACCTGTAAGTAATTATAAATAAATATATGTTTGTGTTTTGTTCAAACTCTAGGGTGGTGTTCATCCAGTTGTAATTCACTATGTATATATGTATGTTTGCGTTAGTTCGTTTGTAAGTTCTTGTATGTTTATTTGATCATTAGTTTTATTCACTTAAATGATAATAAAATTTCACTAAAAACACAATTTTTGTTGAAAGTCTTCTTTATAAAATCAATCTTACAAATATTTTTAAAAGATTTACATTTATCATAAAAAATCTATTTTAAATAATAAAATGTTGATATATATTTATATAATTTACAAACTTTATATAATATTCAATAAAACTTTCTCAACTTTATATAAATATAAAAAAAGATTAAAAATAGTTCTTATTAATATTACCTAAAAAAATATTCTTTTTATAAATCAATAAAATTAAATTGTCACTTTGTTTAAAAGCGTTTTGGTAATATAAAAACATTAGATTGCAAAAGATTAATCTTACAAAGTTAATTGTTTTAGCATTGTTGAAACTTAATTTTTTGGATATACATGGAAACATACATTTTAATGTTCTCAAAATATCTCAAACATTGTACTCACTTCCCAAACATACCTGTATGTGTGTGTGTGCAAATCTAACATAATCTTAAATTGACCGAATTTCGTAAAAGTTACTAAAGAGTGGCGTCTCCTTCGGTCTTGGTTAGAAAGGCATTTTGCAATTGAGTTGACTAAATTCTGGGTCGGTTATTATATTTCTTTGAGCTGGTCACTCTAATACATTAAGGTTATTGGTATAAGTATAGCTTTTTTCATAGCAGTATGTTTTGGGTCGCCATTATGCTGGTATATGAAGTTGTTTCCCATTCTTTATTTTTCTGTATTATGTAATACATAGAGGATTCCCCCTTTTTTCATCAATAAATATTAATTTGCCCTTTCCAGCTTATACTACTTCAAACCAATTTTCCCCTGTATAATTTAAAGTACCACTAAACAACTTAATTTATAAGCATTTCCTTGAAATCCATCCAATCAGGTAAGGTTGTATTTTAATTAATCTGACCACAAAATGTTTTTCCAACATAAAATTGGCTTTTTTTGGTACTTTTTTTTGCAAAGTTTTATTTATTATAGTCAATGTTTTTATTTTTGAATGTAATATTTAAAAAAAATCTGTTTTTTTTTTTTTACAGATACACCTTTGAGTTCTATTGAGAGTTTGGATGTTTCACTTTCTGTTCTAAACAATTCTGAAAATCAGTATGATCTTCATCAAAAGTCTTTGGATCCACAAATAACAGTTGTAGATGGTCAGACTTACTTTGGTGAGTCTGCCCCACTACCTGACCTTACTAGTAGTATTATTTTGCAGAATGAAATTAATCATTATCAAAAACTAAAAGCTAAACAAGTTTCAGTTCGTATTTCTTCAGATGAAAGTGAGTGTATATTTTTTTAAATATTTTGAATTTTTTTCTTTCTTTAAAGTGTTTTTAAATATTTTGTGTTCAAGTAGTTACTGTTCATACGATTTGTCATGAAAACACATGGCATTATAACCAAAAAAAAACATAAGAAAAACTTTTTTAAGGTAAAATTTTTTTAAGGTAAAAAGTTTTTTATGACATTTATAATTTCACACAGATACTGGAAATTCAAGAGTATCAACAAAAATTCAACAACTTCTTAACACACTAAAGGTAGATAATTTTTATATTTTTTAAAATAAAAACTTAAAATATATAAAATAATAACTTACTTAAAATATATAAAATAATAACTTGCTTAAAATAACGCTATTTAATATTTTAAGTTTTATAATTAAAATAAAATATAAATTGTCACATCAAGGTCACATTTAGAGTCTGTTGATATTAAGACATGACTAGTTGTTCCAAAGTATATATTGTAACTAAATTTGGGGTTACCTTAATCAAAATGCATAACTTTACATTTATCAGTATTCAGTTAATTTTTGTCCAAATTACAATTGCATTTATTTCTCTTTGTAATTTTTGGGAATCTTTTTCATTCATATATGTGTTTGTGTTCTGTCTGAAACTCTGGTGCGGTGTTTACTCACTTGTAAGTTACTTTATTTATGCATGGGTTCTGTTTAAATGTTTAAATCTGTTTTGATGCAGTGTGAGCTCATTAACTAACTAGACACTCCAACTATAAAATCTGCGCTCACCCTTATCTCCAGTATTTTATTAAATGTAATATTTTCCTATTGCATCTCCAAAATGTCATGCTCAGTGTTTTAAAGTACTGTTTGCAGGAAGTAGCTCCTTTTAATTACTCTGGCCAGGTCAGGTTCTGGATTATCACGAGCACCCTGCTACTGGTATTATGTAACACAGTACTACCTATCCCATGCCCTGCTGCCTTGTAAAGTGCTTTTTTAGGCAAAGGCTAGAAGAAATAAACTCTGACTTGAAAATCCTCTGCTTTGGGACTCTTGGTTGAGTAAAGGCTAGAGATGATGTCTCGATAAAAATACTCATAACAGTATTTTATTTACCCTAACTACACAATATTGGGCGTATGCATAAAAATGAGATTCACAATTCTTATTAGGTTAATTTTTTGGTTGCTATGGATACCTTACTTTGCATAGCATAGCAACAACTTATTTTCTTTAATTGTTTGTAATTTAATTACTAGCACTAACAGTAATTTAATTACTTTTATTTTTAACAAACACTCTAACACATGTAGTAACCTAATTACAAACAAGAATTAGTAGTCCACGCCGCATATTATAAAATTAAACTTTTAAATACAAAATATTTGTTGTAAGAATTATTTAGTTTTACTAAACTTAGACATTCATAATTTTTTCCAAAAGGACAATCTTAATATTTCAAAACTAATATTAAAGATATATTGAAATTTATTCAGCCAAATATTGCTGAATTTAAAGGCGTTGATTTTAGATATGCTGTTCAATGATTTGTTTATTTGTATAAAAAAAAGTGGAAATCTGCAAACTATGCTGTCAAAAATTTTGAAAAGAAGTTTATGAATTTGCTTAATGAATATTGAGTTATATTAAGAATTATATTAAGTTTATGAATTTGCTTAATGAAAATGGAGCTTGTTGTTGATTTCCCTAAAAATTTTGGTTCTGAAACAAGTAATGATGGCAATACTTCAAAGTATGCTTTTGCAGCATATGAACAAACAGCTGAAATTCTGGGTATTGACTAAAACCTTACATTCAGATTTTACATTATTTTGGTTACACTATATTCGGGATATGAAATAGACTGCTTAAAATTCAAGGGTTATTGTTTTGATTATGTGATGTTAGACTATATGTGTCCCTTTATCCATAGTATTACATGGCTCAATCTATACACAAAGTGCACATGGTATAATTAAAAGCCTTACATTACTCATCGGACTTATTTCAGAGGAAGTTCAAGAAGCTAGAAGTAAAGACTTAAAATCTTATCACAAAAATTTCAGTCAAAAAAATATCCAGAAGAGCAACAAATACTGATCTGATCAATAGACTCCTAGTTTCCAGTGATCCTGTTATTTCATGACTGCTAAATCACATTTAACAAATCATAAAGCATTTTCCTTCAGATGTTTTGCAATTATTTAAACAATCTTCAAACGATGTTATTGTTTTATAATTTTTTGATGTAATTTAAAATTGTCAATATTTTCTTGCACTATTTTTTTTTTTTTAAATCATGAAGACTAACCCTGGCATTTGTGTATTGCAATGTTAGTAACACAAAATGATCATTTTTTTAAAATTAAAGTTACATTCTCTTCAGGAAATTAGCCCAGAGATATGAATAAAGTTTTATACTGAAAGGGTTCTTGAATTTCTGCAGTAGATTGAAAAAAAAAGTTTTAATGATAAAAAACAGAAAAATCAAAGATTTCAAAAAGTCATCAAAAACTAAGATTTAAATAAAGTTATAATAAGTATACACAAATTTTAGTCATTTTAAGTAATTGTTATTTTACATTAAAAAAAAGTTATTTACATTAGTTATTTACATTAAAAGTTTTATTGGGAAGTTCATGACCATTTGGAGGCCCCTAAATCGTGAGCCCTGGTGCATTTCCTCCACTGCATCCCCTAAAAAACGGGCGCTGGAGGTCTATGTAGTTAGGAATTTAATGAACATTGATTATTGCAATAGTTATTCAGCAGTTAAAGACAAACAAAAAAACTAAAATATAACTAAAATTAAAGTTAAAGACAAACAAAAAATATAACTAAAATATTTTAATATTTTATAAAATATTAAAATATTTTATAAAATATTTTTTATAAAATTGTCACATTTTTTTACGTTTCTTGTATTCTCTTTTTGACTTTGGTTTTTTGTCAAAATGAATTTGTGTCGCTATTTCTTGACCATAAACTTGTTTAGATGACTCAGAGGTTAATTTTACTGCTTCTCTCCACAGATCGAGAATTATTAGGTATGTCAGTTATAAAGAGTTTTAGGTTTGATTCATTACCGTTTCTCAGATTTTCAGACGTTATGCTAAAAGTTGCTGGGAACTCAACCTGTATATCATCAACAGAAAAAAGACACAAACTTTGATGCTGAGTCCCATGAATCAGCATCGAAGTTTATTTTCACTATAGATTTTGGTTTAAGCTTTGTTTTAAAGTTAATATCTTCTTTCCATGCTCTTATTTTTATGATTTGGTTAAGGGCTTGGTTTCTTATATTTAGATTTTCATCCAGCAGCATGCAGTACAGGAAATTATCTTGCAAACAATAGTATGAATTTCCTTGTAAGTTCTTAAAAATAATGCTCTGAATCCTGCTATCTTGAAGCTCGACTAATTGAATGGTTTTGTAAAGAAGTTGACAAGCATCTTTTATTTTCCAGAGCACTTAATAGCAAACCATATTACACAATATAATAAATAAATATATTGTTCAATACTTGAACAATATATTTATTTATTTTTAATAACTCAGGAGATGGTTTATCATTCCTAACATAAACCATCATTATTCTTAGAGCTAAAGTTAGCCATCTAGCATGAAAAACTGGTCCAGGTTTTTTTGCAAGAAATTTTTTAGAAATTAAGCCTTTTGAGATACAGACACATTAGTCATAAAACTTTTGCTAGTCTGTACTCAGATCGCTTATAACTTCACTGTTAACAAATAAATTTATTTTTGACTGATTGGGAATAAATTCAACAATAGGTGTTTATAAAGAGTTTTATAAGATACAGTATTTCAAATAGTCCCTTGTACGACTTACGGCCATTTGGGTTTTTCATTTAATTCACATATTGTCGCAGTGGGAGTTGATGCAGCAAACATCCTAAAAGGTGCAAACTTTTTTTAAGAATTTTTTCTAGTTTAACAACCAAACTCTTATCTGCACTTGTATTTGAACTTTTGTTATCTACAATAACAACTATTAAGCTATGAACATTATTATATTCTGTCAAAACATTGGCAGTAGCGTTTGCCATTGTAGCGCCAATTCCATTAGGTGTAACTACATAAGTCAAACAATGTTTTGATTTTGGCCCATATTCTTCTGTAAATGTAAGATGATGTTCTTCTTTGGTTGAAGCAACAAAAATAAGATCTTCATAAGTGTTTTACCTTACAGAATTTACTAATGTTGTCTTGTTGACTTGTCAATTTAATTCTTTAACATCAGTAAAGTGTTTAGAACTTATGATGCTGCTAATTCTTTTTTTTCTCTTAAAATTTTTTTTTCTGTTATTTTTTTTGATTTATCACATTTTTTTACAACTCTATAGTCTATTGATACAGTTGTTGCTAATGCAGCTGCTGCAACAATATCAATTGATGTTGCATTCTTTTTGATAAAAGGAATGCAACATCAATTAATATTGCTGCAGCAGCTGCATCATCAACTTTCTAGAAAACATTTCCTGTTTTCTAGAAAGTTTATTATTCACTTAAATAATTTTCCATTTATGCCATATGCATATAGTTTTTGAGAAAATCTTAGATGTGGCACTTTGTCAAATGCCTTAGCAAAATCAAAAAAAACTACATCAGCTCACTGTTTTTTTGAGAGTACTGTAATGATTTCATCTAATGTTTCCAATAAATTAGTAACACAACCTTTATTGCGAACAAATCAGTGTTTTTGTTTAGCTTTGAGTTTGTTTAAGTAGAGATGATTCATAACTGTGTCTTTGATTTACTCAAAAACTTTACATGGAATCAAATTCAAGGAAACTGGGCAATAGTTTGATGGGTTACTATGATTACCACTCTTATTTAATGGTGTCATATTTGCTAATCTCCACATGTCAGGAATAACTCCTTCATGTAAAGAGCTTGAGAATATCATAAAAAGTGGCTCGGAAAATCCTTAGTGACATGCTTTTAGTGCTTAAAGGTGATCTCCAGCGACCCCTGGAGCTTTGTTAATGTCTAAGTTGAATAGATGTTTACTAATATCTTTAATAGACAGGGTTGGAATCATTATAGTTGCTGATTTACAGTTCTTAAAATTTTTCACCAGTACTTCATTTAATTCCTCTAAAAATGCAGATCTTAAATAATTATTAAGAATATTGCTAATGCCTGTTCAAGGGTTGACTTTGATGCTGTTTGCTTCACTTTCACCATATAATATATTAAATGTTTTTTGTTGTTCTGTTTTCTGTTGTTTGTTGTTTTCTTTGTTGTTTTTTTGTTCTGTTGTTTGCTGC